AACCTTAAATATATCTTTCTTTTTAACTTTTTTCTCCATTAATATTTTCATGTCATCTCTATATTTTTAGTTATTCATTTTTGCATCATCGCGAATATAATCATGAGATGATATAGTTTCTTTATGTGATGTTGAAGATGTTGAAGCTTCATTGTTTCAGACTAAAAAAATAACAATAAATAAAAATAATTAATTAAATATAAATTAAATATAATAATTAAAAAATAGAAATTATTACAACTCACATTTTGTACATTATCTAGTTCATCAAGCCACTTGTTGAATTTTTTTTCCCAAATATTTAATAAAATATTATCAAATGAATTTGTTTCGCGCATTACTTTTAAATCACGTAAACATGCTAAGATGTCTCTTTTCATTACGCCTAATCTTAATTTATTACTATATCCAAACATGCCTTCCCATGATGCATTAATTTCTTCCCAAGTGATATTATTAATTTGTGGAGGTTTTAATTGAAATAATGTACTTGAATCAACATTAGATACTCGCTTAGGTTTAGGTTGCTTTATTAGTACAAATTGAAAAAAAAGTTTATTAAAATAAATGAAAAATTTAATCAAGAATATAACTTTTTTGTTTACCTTCTTAATATTTTTATTTTTGTTAAAATTGCTATTAAGATCGCTAAAATCTTCAGAATTTTCATCAAAATCATCAGAATCTTCGTTAAAATCATCAGAATCTTCAGTAAGATTATTAGAATCTTCGTTAAAATCATCAGAATTTTCATTAAAATTATTAGCATCTTCGTTAAAATCATCAGAATCTTCGTTAGAATCATCAGAATCTTCATTAAATATATCAGAATCTTTGTTAAGCTAAAAATCAAACATTAAAATTACCTGTACTCTCGAAAGAAATCTTTTTGCAACTATAGGTCTTGCTGCTAAGGTGGATTTGGACATAGTTCTGCGTGGTACACATAATTCACAATGATTCACAAACTCCTCTATAATTTTCTTTTTTACCCCATACCATTTGCTTCTTAATTTTTTATACAAATTTTTTTGTCCACAATGAACATTTTGTACATGTTCCAAACAAATTGTTTTATACATTTCTTCTAAGACTAATATTGGTAAAAAATCAGCAGATTTACCTTCTTTATCTAAAGCTGCTTTTGTTCTTTTATTATTATTTTTACATACAATAGAATCACCTCCAGTATTTAATAAAATGAAATTCTTTCTACACCAATAACGAAAGTCTGCATCCCGTAATGTAGAAACAGGATCTAAAAGAACTGTTTTTATTTCATCATAAAGGCGTCTATTTATAAATTGCTTTTCGGATGTTTTAGATTTACTGTTTTGTATAAATTTATCAATAATTTTATTAAAAGTATCTTTACTAATAAAAGAAAATTCTTCTGTTTCCATGATAAAAAAATTTTTTAAAAAAATTTTAGGGTGGAGAGACGTCAGAGACGCGAAAAAAAAAGATTGATAAAAAAAGAGATTAGTTTGTTTCACAAACAAATTGAAAGCCAATGATTTTTGATGATCATATAAGTCACATGATCAAAAATCAAAATTTTGGGCAATAAAATGTCTGTGCCCCATTTCGAAATTTCAAGTTGGATTGCCCAAAATTGAAATTTCAATTTCGGGCAAAATGAAGTTGCCCCAATTTCAAATTGGGGCAGATCGGATCTACATGTTTCTATTTGAATTTATAAAATAAATATGTTGTCCCAAAGTTGCGATCACTGATTCAAAACCTAAAGGGGATAAGAAAAAAGAAAAAAAAATTAAAACAAAAATCTCGTTTAAAAAACCGTGAAAGGAAAAAAAAAAAATATTAAAAAAAACTGGTCTTAAAAGAACCGGAAGGAAGGAAAAATAATATTATAAAAAATCCGGGTTTAAAACATAATTGAATTCTGTTTTCAAAACCGGAAAAGAGAAAAAATAAAAAATAACCAGAAACCGTAAAAAAGGAAAGAAAATAAAATTTTAATTTTGGTTAACCCGTATATCACGGTTTAACCGTTAAAAAAAAAACCAAAAAAAAAAATTTTTTCGGTTTAATAAGAAAAAATAAATAAATTTGGTTTAACCAAAACTAAAAAAAAAAATTTTACTGCATCATACTGAAAAAAAAATATGATGAATAGTGATAAAAACTTAACTTTTTCCATTATCATTACAAAAAAATTCCTATCATAACCGGCAGTCGGAACGTGCACATGACCTCGACATCCAATCAGGTTTCATATTACACAATTCAAGGTAATTTATACAGAGGGTAATTTAAATATCCACAATTTTTTTTTGATTTAGAATAGATAATATAAATTATTTAATTTTTTATAAAATTTTTTAAACTCATTGTCGATTAGGCAATCACCCTACCATTTATAAAAATTAATAAAGACCGTTTACAAATAAAAATTTTTCGCCGCTTTGACTATACGTATAAGAATTTGTTTAGCGTGCGCTGTTTCGAATTAATAATCTACTATTTCCATTTATAATTCCGGATGGTTAGAATTTTAATACCGGCCAGAATTAGTCATATTAGTCATTAAACCGGTTTAAGGTTAAACTCAGTTCCAATGTTTTCTGACACAAATATTTTTAATTTACCAAGAAAATTATAATTTCTATTTATAGTATAAAGATTTTTTGCCCTTTTTCCTTTTTAAGTTTCGTGTTTGATATATTAATAGTTTAACCTTCCAAAATTCCTGTATAACAATTATTTTTTTTAATAATTAAAGAAAAACAGAACAAATGTATTACATACACTTAACTTTTTTTAATAACATTGTTTTTCACAATAATCCAAACAACATTTAATAATTTTACGCCCTCATGGATAAAACTTTCATCAAAAAGAGTATTCATTTATCTTAAATTTCTCAAGGGAAATTAACATTGCATGATCATCATCATATTTAATATCAAAATGTTTAAGTATTTAACGATCATCGCATTATTGTTTGTTGGTCAAAAAAAGGATGATACATGTTTTGGAGTTTTAGAATGTTAAATACTGAAATAATAGATGTAAATCATTTAATCTTTTTTTATTTTACAAAATTATGACTACATATTATATATATATACAGTATATAAAAAAAAGTGCGTTTACCAAAGGTTTTAATTTTTTTTTTACCACACTGTTAAAAAAATGATATCCACAATTATTTTATCGTTTGGAATTTATGATATATTTTATCTTTTAATAACTTTTATAATTATTTATGTAACTCATTATTATTATCGATATTTTACTCGATTAAATCCTTTACCTGGTCCATTCCCAATTCCTTTTCTTGGTAACGTTCATCAAAAAATTGGATATGAATATAATGATTGGTTGAAATTAATGCATAAAAAATATGGAGATATATTTGAAATAAATTTTGTAGGACAACGTTCTATAATATTATGTAGAACAGAATTTATTGAAAATATGAATATACCTACAACAAAAACTAAATATCCTTTTAGATTTCATATTACAGAAGGTCTTACAGAATATGGTTATATTGGTACAGGTTTAGTTAATAATAATGATCATAAATCTTGGAAATATAATCGTCAATTTTTTAGTCAAGCAATGATGACTCCAAGTTTTAATCATCAATCTATTGAATGGACTAATGAATTATGGAATGAAATGGAATTTTATTGGAATAAACTTGGTGAAGATTATGAATTGGATTTTATAAAATGGATGCTTAGATTTACAAATGAAATCATTTTTAAAATTTCAACTGGAAAAAAAAATAATTCTATTGCTTGTTATTATAATTCTCTTATTCCTGAAAATTTTATTAATTTAAGTGAAAATGAAAATAAAAAAATTAAAGATTCTGAAGATTTTATTCATTCAATTGAAACTTTAGTTGATGGTTTAATTTATTTTGTTATTTTTAATAAATTTATGAGACGTTATGTTCCTTTCATTCGTGGAAAAATTAATGGTTTCTTAAAAAATAGGGATTATTTATTTGAAAGAATAAGTAATATTATTAAAGAAAGAAAGATTGAAATTGAAAATACACCATTAGATCAACCTCTTCGTCATGATATGTTGACATCTTTTATAACCGCAAATACGTCACGTGATATTAATTCCACAAAACATGGTGATGTCGATTTATTAAGACCGATGACTGATAAAGAGATTTTTGGTAATATACTCGATGCCATTAATGGAGGAACTGATACTGTGAGTAAAAAAAATTTTGTTTATTTAATAAAAATTTATAAAATTTTTTAACATATTCTTATTTTTTAAAAAAAATTATAAAATTATTAGACGGCAAATTTGCTTTGCTTTGTCGTATATTATCTTGGTCATTATCCTGAAGTGAAACAACGATTACGTCAAGAATTAGATGAAGTTCTTGGAAATGATTTAACGAAACCTATAAATTATAATAATATTGAAAAATTATATTATTGTGATGCAGTTATTAAAGAAGTATATCGTCATTCTCCTATAACTTTTTTTATAGGTCGTATAAATGTTGAAAAAGATGAAGTTGGAGGTTTTAATTGGCCTGAAGGAACTTCTTTTCATATACTTTATTCAGAAATAATGATGTCTAAAGATTATTGGACTAATCCTGAAAAATTTGATCCTTATAGATTTTATAAAATTGATGAAAATCATAATAATAATTATTTACTTGAAAAACAACATATAAAAAATTCTTTTACTATATTTGGTGGTGGTATTAGAATTTGTCCTGGTAGAAAATTAGCTATGATAGAATTAAAATGTTTATTAGCTTTAATTTATAGAAAATATGATATTGAATTGGCTGATATTAATTCTCCTCTTAAATATGAATCTGGTTTATTTACAACTTGTAAAGAATTAATTGTTAAGATTAAATCAAGAAAATTTTAAAAATATAATATATATATTTTTATTTATTTATATATTTACTATTCGAACGTTTAATATTTATTTTATTTGAATCTTATTAAATTTATTAAATAAATAAATGATTAAATTAAAGGCCTAAGTAAAATTCAATAAGATTAATAAAAATGCATTTACTCGCTTTTTTGAATAAAAATATTATCCATGGAATAGTATTCTCATCTAAAATTTGAGAAAGGAATGAGGGTTAGTTCATAAAATTCATACAAATAATTTCAATGCCACGTGTTATGTAATGCCAGTCAACATTGGCATATTTGTGTAATTTCTACCAGAATTATACTTCTTACGGACATCAAATACATGCAAGTATTGGACTATTAAAATATCGAAAATGTCATCACATAATCATGGGAAAAAGAAAATCTTTTTTATGACGATTTATTTAAAAACGAAATCAATATAAAACTTTATTTATATAACATAAATAGGTAAAAGAAAACAAAATAAATGTTTAAAAAAATTTTTTTTTTTTTTTTTTTTTTGGCGTAGAATATTTTTATCTAATTTTAAAATTTTTCTTTTAGTTTAACCTTGACAATTTATTTATTTGTAATACAGTATATCAAAACCAGATTTTTTTGTTAAAGAAGCCATATACTGTTAATTATCATTAAAAGTTTCGTCATCTTTTTTTTTTTTCATTAGCGTTAGCAAATGGGAAAAATGATAGTTTAAATTTTTCCTATATGAAAAGAAAACTACCCAAAACTATATCGCTATGATAGTACGAAAGTGTGGAGGATTAAAATTAAATGGCAACAAATATAAAAAAAATTAATTTGTCTGCTTAATTCTTTGTAAATAAATCAACCCTACACGTACAAGCTGAAAGGTGCAGAACAATCTACCCTATTTGCGATTGTGATACCTGGTACATACTAACGGAAACAAAAGTCAATCCGAAAAGAGCGAATTAAAAAATAAAAGAATTGTAGCTGGTAAACTTGCCGAGTCCTGATGGTTTGTTGGGACTTGGGAGTCAGTCTCGCAGTGAGAACTGACAAAGGTGCACGTGATCTATGATCAGGTGACATTAGTATAATTATTGCGTCTCAGGTTCCTTCGAGTGGTGTCGTTTCTTGGAAATTTCTAATTCCTTATAGAGAAAGAACAATTTCTAAGTATTTTTATGCGAGTGAATTCTTGAAGCAGGGAAAAGTTTATAAAACCATTCTCCAACATGATCAGAGATGAAATCATTGATATCCATATTGTGGATCCTATTGACGGATTGTTTTGCTTTTGATGAGAATGGAATTTGTCTTGAAAGAAAGTTAAAAGATTGAGGTTCACCTTCTTGCAAATGATATTGCACTCCTAACACTTGTACTTCAACAGCAAGTGAAATAACCCTGTTACGAGTGTTGGTTAATTAGCAACATAATCCATTGGCCGTTGGTTTTTTCATATATTGATGTAGCAGCTAGCAACTCCACTCATCACTCTCGGGATTAATTAATGTTTTACCTTAACGAGCATATATGAGATGAAAGGAAGTAAATGTTTAAATGGTAAATACTAGTTCCATCCTTCAGAGTTAGGTTAGACTTGATGACGAGTTTAGGAGGAGTGGAAGTGAGTTGTTTAAAAGCGAGATGTGTTGCTTTACCGGTTTAGGTTGTAACGAGAAAATTTAGGATGTTTTTTTTTAAGGATGCGGTGTTTTGAGCATGCCCTGATTAAAGGAGAGTTATCATTTCAAACCTGATGAGAATTATTGTTGCGTCTATTGAAATTGGTTTTGATTTAGTCGTAATTTTCGCTCACTTCGTGCTAGTTTTGTTTTTGTACTCGCTACTAATGTCTTGTGTTGGCGAGCTTGGTATAAAATTTGATACGAGATTCTGGTACGGTAAAGAAAAGTCGTCTTTTTTATGTTTTTGTTCCAACAATTGTACAGTATATTTGATTGGTAGCTAAGAATTTTATTTTTTCCCAAACTATCATTGTGGGTGATGATAATAGGACATTATTATTGGCGACCTTACAAGGTGGTAGGCAAAGTAGAATTACTCGGCACTTCGTGCCGAGTAACTATTAATTACAGGGTAGTATAAAAATACCAAAATAAAATCAAATTTTTATAAGTGAACTAAAAATAAATGTGCGTACTACAGTTAATTTGTTGATAAGAGAACCTCGTGAGTTGATTTGTTTGAGAAATTTATCCTGAAGCATGTTAAAAGTACTGTACATATTTCAAATAAGTGTTGAAAAGTGTATAAGAAGTTTACTAATCTGAAATTTTGTGCTAAGGAATTTGCTTGTGAATTTATAGTGTAGATGTTGGATGTTGATTGATCCAACTCGAAATAGTAACTTCTTGATGAAAAAATAATTTTCTACGATTTTTAAAGAGGTTTTAAACAGAACTTGTACAACGTAGACTTTCGGATGAAAAATTTCCGCGTAATACAACTGCGCGTATCACATGCTCTCATTTACATAAAGCTTTTCGATGAAAGAATTATAAACACTGTTATAAAAATAAAATTAGTTAACTAAAACCACTCGTAAGTAATCACATGATTATTTTTTGTACGCAAATCCATTAAAAATTAAAACGTCTTTGACTGATAAGTCGATTCACTATTTTCTTTTTTATGAGTAATTATTCAAATAGTATATGCACGATTGTAATCGAACTTTTGAACTTTCTGGCCTTTCTAAAGAAATTCGCATCAACGTATCTAAATATGTACGGTCACATGTTCCGATGCAAAAAAAAAAGGAATTTCCGTAATCTTTAGATCTTTTTGGAAAATTTCCGAAATCTTTTTCAAAAAACTTTTTGTGTAATGTACCGAAAATTATATTTTAGGATTTAAAACAATTTCTCATTTTTAATTTCTGCATATTTATTTATAGATATAGATATTTGGTAAACCCAAGTAAAGGTAGTACAAATATTGTTCTAAATGGAGGAACCAAATATGGAAGTTCTTAAAATTCTTAAAATGTAAATAATTGATTTTTCGGTACACAATTTTCTAATAGGAATTTTTTTGAATAAAATTTGTGCAGCAAAATTAAATAAAGAAATAATAATAATAATTTCATTATTATAATTATTATATATTAGATTATATAGTGATATATTTAGTAAAATTATAATTACAATATTATCAGATACTCAGATGGATTGTAGAAAATGACGGAATATTAAAATCTTTTATGTAAGATTTTTGAGGAAATTGATAATCTATAATCCATAATCTAAATTAATAAATCAATATCTTTATATTTTTATATGTCCGTCAGTCGTTCGTAGAACTTTTTTTTAAATATTTGTACAACAAATTATGTAATACTGTATTGGTGTAAAAGTTCTTCATTTGAAAGAGTTTGAAGTCATTTTTGATAATCAGAGATTTATTTGTCGATCATCATACGAGAGAGTAACGAGACGTTTAAATTCGGGAAAGTTTTTCGGCGTCAATATAATTTAAAAAAACGATTTTTTTGGTTACACATGAATGCATGATTTATAAAAAACCTTGTTTGGGTATTGGGTAAATAAATAATTTTCGCTTATTGAATTTGTATTCTGTAACTTGTAACGTACAAGCTTATGTTTATACTATGTATTGTTACTCTGCCTATTGTTCTAGGTACAATTTCCATAAATAAATAGACTTTTTTCTTTTTATTCTATTAAATATATTAAATATTAAATGAATATCACTATCGGTAAGTCAAAAATCGGCGATATAGATTATACACCGAACTCAGTTAATCCTAATATATTATCGTATAACCTGACCATAACAGCAATGTTTATCAATAGTCTATATAGTTTATTTTAACCAATTTTTACAAGGAAATACTATTAATAATTATAATATTACTTTTAATATGAATCAATAATAAAATGTTTTTTCTGATATTATAATATTACTTTAAATAACAGTGTTTATCAAAATGAATAACTCCGCCTACTAACAACGATAATAGATAATATACAGTATATAGATTATCCGATGCTATAAGCTTTAATCAATGAGATAATTAACCATGCACTACAATATACTTTAGACTTTAGATTACTCAAAGTCCGAACAAAAATTATTTCGTGTATATATATATGTAACGTATAATGCATATTTTCGTGTTTCTAGCTCTGTTAAATAAAGAGTTAAGGTTCTGCAAAAATCCAAAGTCCGAACAAAAGTTATTTCGTGTGTATATATATATAACGGTATAATGCATATTTTCGTGTTTCTAGGTCTGTTAAATAAAGGATTAAAGTTCTGCAATTTTTTGCTTGCTCTCTGAACGTATTCATTAATAATTTCTCATTCTTATAAACAACATCACTATGAGCAAAAATTATATTGGCCGTGACGGTAAGTCTTGTGTCAATTTGTTACATTTCTTCACTTGTATTCTTCATATCCTAACTAGTTTGCCCTTTTCTAGTTCTCGTTTCTTATTTAAGAGAACAAAAAAAACCATCATACCGCGGATTTCTGGCTCTTTATCAGGACGAAATTATAACTTCGCCTCCATTTTTAGATAATTGGAGCCGTACTGATAAGATTTGGGCCGGTCGATTTCTGAAAGCTTCTGAAGAACATGAAGAAAGTAATTATGAAGATATGAAGAAGAAGGTGCGTTTTTTATTTTGCAAAGTTTGGGCAACTCCCGGTTACCTGCCGCGCTGATCGGGAGAATTACTGGGTTTTGATACTGGTAACCACTCCAGGTGTTCTCTATTTGGGCGCCCATACTTTGTTGTTAATAAAGGTTCACTGATTCTGAAGGAGGAATCATAACATCTTCCTTTATTACTAAATAAAAAAATAATGCACTGCTAACATTATTCCTATATAACAGGTAGATTCAGAACGTTCCGGTGATGGTTTGAAAAATTATTGGGAAAAGATAATTGAGGAACGTGAAAGGCGTGAAAGGGTGAGTGGATAAATTATTAAATTTTTGTGTAATGGTTGTATAATTCACTAAATTAAAATATTACTATAGAATCACACTATAAAACGAAAGACTGAAGATAAAGAAAATGTTCACGCATGGACAAAAAGAAAGATTTCCTCACCTCCAGAAAAGGCATCATCTTTTTCTTCAATTCAGGTTACTTTATCTTCCATTCTTTCAGAAGAGATCTCTCTATCAACTGTTATATGCAATACTTTACCAAATCTCATCTATCTTGAGTTACGTGGTAAGTCAAATTCAAGTACCGAGTCCACTGAGCAACGATTTCCCGATGAGATCACAAATTGGGTGGGGTTTGAACAGGAAGTAAGAGCTTGGAAGCCAGAGGAGGATATTAAATATCCAACACCAACGTTCAGTAAGTGTCGGAAAGTCACTTGCGAAAAGGACATTTGGACTGCATCAGATATTAATATATTTGATGCATTAACACCATTGGATCAATCCATTCTTTTTTTGGATGGTCGTGCCTTAAAGGATACTATCGGACAACCAGATTTTGTTGTAGTAAATGGTAACATGTTACTACTTGTGGCTTGGGAATGCAAACCTAAGTGGGTTTTGCAAGTACCCCAAAATGAGGATATTATCTCCCTCTACTATCAGGAGAAGAAAGAACGAGAAGGGACATTAGTTTATTCAAAAGATACCTCAGTATTTGACCCCATAAATCAGATATATGGCTATATGTGTGCCAATAGTTTGAGGTAAAAAAATCCCATTTCTCCTTTTATTATATTTAATATTAACAGATTTTAACATGACTATTTTATTTTATAGGTATGGCGTTCTTTCAACGTATGACCAAACGTGGTTCCTTAAAAGGAGAGTATATAAAGTAGAGGAAGAAAACTATGGATTATTAAGTATATCGGGCTTTATTAAAAACACATCAACGGACCCTACATTACTTAGATCCGTCGCTTACATTATCAACCTCGCCTCTAATGATCGTTATGCACCCTTCCTTAATAAACCCATAATGATTACTAACGATACCAATGAAGGTGATGAAGTTGATGATGAATCTTCTGACGACGGAGACTTTAAGTATAAGGGGAAATTACCCCAAGAGAACAAAATGTTCTAACTCGAAGTAAATGCCGCCAGCCCCTATAAAAAAAGAATGTCCAGAAATTGTAACTAAAAACGTCCGGAAAATGTCCATTTGTCTGGAATATATCCGGATTATTGCAATATTCCGGACGTTGAAAAATTTCCATATTCCAGAAAATGTCTAGGAGGGTTCAGGCCCAGTGTCCAGAAAAGTGTCCGGAACATTGCAATTTTCTGGGCATTTTCCGGACACACGGACATTTTCCGGATGTTTTTAGCTACAATTTCAGGACATTTTTTTATAGGGCAGGCTACTAGAGTCTTCAGATATTGTTAATGTAGAATAATGCTTATCAACCACCTTCCTTAATGAGTCCCGATATAACATTAACTCAGTTCGGTTTTATTCCACTTTAATAATGTTATAAACTAGCTTTAATTAAATAATATTATTATTATATTACTTAATATTGGTTCAGTATTATTATACTTTAACACTAAAAAATTATTGCCGAATGCCGATAACAAGAAGGTTCCAAAGAAATATAGCAAACACACCATTAAAATAAGAATAACGATCAATTTTATGATATTAAATAAATAGAAAAATGGTTTTATAACGGTATATTCAGTAAACATGGCGAGATGGTCCATTATATTGGAACAAACGAAATAACAAATGTACAAGAGTTCCAAATAAGAAAGTTGCAATTAAAACGTTTTCATGCATAATTCACAATATCTCGTAAATTTTCTAATAGTAGATGAGGTATAAAATTTTTTACGATATTTATATATATATACGTTTTTAATATAATGTATTAATTTCTTTATTTATATTCTAGGTTAAAAATTATTCAACGGAAAATTTTGTCATTATTCGTGAAATAAATAATAGCTCTATGAAAAAGGAATGTCCGGAAAATGTTACCAAAAAATATCGAAAACTGGACATGAAAAAATTCCGGACAACATGAAAAAATTCCGACAATATTATCAAAAATAAAAATATATAAAAATTAAAAAAATGTAAAACCACATTAAAACTGACGTAAAAAGTAAACTTAGAGTATGATGTTAATTTAAACTTTGGATGAATGATAGTAAAATCATAATAATCATCTGATCATCTTTGAAATGGATCAGTTGCGCAGAATTCCAGACAAATTCTGAGCTAAGCTAAAACCGGACACATTCCGCGGAAACGCGCACGTTTTGGAATATTTTCTGGACACCGGAATTTGTTTACTTATTTAACTGGGATAAATTGCGGACGCATTTTTTTTCGTAGGTATTAGGGTATCCTTACAGGGTGACTGATATTTTACCCATCCAATAACTATAATCAGTATAATTTGTCTGTTTGTTTGGTAATTATGAATAACATAATAATGTAATACAATAAAAATAGACAAAATTTATTGTACTTTGACAATATCAATACCCTTTGTTAAAATTTATAATCTCAAAATTTCATACTGGTATTATTTTTAATAATTAAATATTGAAGCATGAATTTTTTTTAGCCTTAATATAATACCAAACTTGTGGAAAAGCATTTGTCCTTATAAGAAATGAAAGTAGGTAGGATAAAAGTGTCTATTCAAAAAAAAATTGAATTATAGTTAACAAAATTGAATATTATTAAATAACCTCACGTATGGGAAATTTTGTTAAAACTTTAATTATTAAAAAGATAATTTACTTTTGTAAGTCAAATGTCACGGAATAATTGCTATTTATACAAACGCGGAAACTTGGCGATAGATAAATAAATTCGTAAATATTTTTCAAATTGAATGTAGTAGACACATCAGGTGGCTGTTAGTATCCCCCACTTTTGTTATTTGTACCTTTCCCTATAATAAATCATGATGTTAAGCGGGTTACTCAAAATTTTTAAACGTTACTGCGCCATTCTTCTGAAAGTTAAAAGTTAAATGGAAAAATAGCGAGAAAATGTACTCTTCATCAAATAATTCTTGCAATTGCTAAATAAGAGACATTAGAAACATTTAGTTTATTTTCATAGAAATACAATTTTAGAAGTTTTATTAATGATGTTTTTTTTATGTGAATATTTCAAATTTTAAGTTATTTATTTTAATTTTCATTTTCGCGGTAAAATTATGAAGTTTAATGATTGTAGATCGTCCAATCACACGGTTTACTACAGGTGAATAACAAAAGTGGGGTACGAAATACTACGCATCTACGTGATCAGTTGTATTCTAAGTTTTGCTTTATTAAATTTATTGCTTTCAATATTATTAAGCTACTTTTAAACTAAACTTTGTTAAACTTTAGATTAAACTTTTCAAGATAAATTTAGTAAATTTTATTATTATTTCGAAGATAAAATTTTTCTTGTAAAAACTGAGCTAATTTAATAATAAATAAATATATATATAACCAATCTTGATAATATCCTTCGTGGAAAGGAAATTAATTTCAATAATTTGTGTTCGATTTTATAATTATTTAGAATCTATTTATCAAAAAAAAAATCAAAATCATCATGATTATCAAAATTATTAATAAATACGAAATCATCAAAACAAAAATGTAACATTACTAAAATAATTTGAAATTTTTCTTTTTGAAAAATCCAGAACCGTGATGCTTGAGAACATGAAGTTTATTTATTATTATTGTTATTTTAATTATCATTTGTAAAATTAATTAGAATTAATTAAAATATAATTAAAATCAAAAATTAAAATTCAAAATCAAAAAAATCGAATTTTCAATTATCTGATTTTAACAAATATTTTAAATATTAAATGTAATACTTTGATACAAAAATAACTTACTTCAATTTAACAATAAAGCAGGATCTCAAAACATTAATTGTTAATATTTATAATTTATATAATTCAATGATCCTGACCCTTCGGGATATAGATATTTTTTGGCAATCCAGATTTTAATATTAAAACAGCCGGATAAAAACTAAATTTATTCGTATATAACATTTCTTTTCTGGCACATTGTACTCTTCTCGAAGGTTCTTTCATTATAATCAAGTATTACTGCGTCATCACACTGTTGCACAATATATAGTCAATCATCGATTCAGCGAACTACACGTGATTTAATAATCAGTATAAATACTATAAGTCTTAACTTAAATAGAACTCTTTCTTTTTTAAGCAACAAATATGTCTGAGAATTTGGAAAACAGTGACGCTTTTTATGTAAAAGATCTCGCAAAAGTATTTTCTCTAGGTGAGCATTAAATAATACAAATAAATGAAAGTCCAGATCAAGTCGTTTTTAACAATCTTTTTTAGGTATGAATGACATTCCCGAATGTTTAAAACGGAATGCTAAGAATCTCCTTGAAGTTATTGACTCTGCTTGTGTTGACAATCCGATCGTTATTATCGAATGGGCGGTAAACCCCTGGCCACGTAGGGGTAGAAATCGTACAAAGGTATTTTACATTGTTTGTTATTCCTTGTTTGTTAGTTTAAACTAATACGTACAAAATTATTTTAGACTGATCTTATTAATTATATCACGACCAATGGCGGCACTGATGAATTTCAACTTGGCATGATATTCTCTTTTCGAACTAGTCGTATACTTGGAAACTGTATGGGGTACATGCCACCTTGGTTAGTGTCAAACTTTATTATTATTATTTTCTGGAAATATCTGCAATGTTTCTGACTTTCTCAAATATAGGTCACTACATGACAGAAATAATCCGAATATACGGGATGTCGGCCATTGTTATATAATTAACAAGGTCGCTGATCGCTCGGCTGAATTAGAAGACTATAACGTCATTTTTAATGTCTGATCTTAGGGTATAAACGATAGTCTGCGTGGTTTGGAACTTCCTCCTCGTTAGGATGTCATTCACCTTCAAAGATTTGTCGGACTGCGTGTTTGATTGTAAAAATAAATTTTTATTAATACATATAAAAAATAAATACATTGGTTTGGGACGCATCCCATTATACAGGTGTTGAAGTACGAGTTAAAATAAATACAAATATTCGGGACTTTGCCCGTGATACATGATATTAACGACTGTTTGCGTTATGCTAAGTCTGCTAAGGCTTATCTACAGTATCTGAATTTCCCGCTACTTTACTCAATGACTTACGCTTTTTTATTACCTTCTCGTTAACAGCTGAGTCCGCCTTTTGTGACTCCTCCAGCAACCAAATAATATGACCAAGACCCTTCACTGCTTTCTCCTTTATATCCTCATCTTAGTACGCAACAAATAGAGGCGGCTTCGTCAAATTAAACGATAATTTCCCTTCATCTTCTTGCGAACATTCCATGAAGTACCGTTTTTCTGCATCCGTCACAATCCCCCATACTTTGTTAAATCTAGGTTCATCATCCATTTTGTCTGCTTTGCGCTTACGACCTAGCGATGACACCAACTGTACAGTAGCTTGTGCGAATCCCTGCTTATAGTCATCTTTTTTGACTTCAACTAGACCGACGGTCGTACGTGATTCAATACCATAGTCAAGATTCCTGCGCCCATTTTTTCCCTCGATCAGCTTCTCTGGTACGACCTTGACTTGATCCTTGAGCGGGTAAGTTGCAGAGACAGATAAGTATACGAGTAGATACTTTTGGAGGCCTCATAAGATACGTCGATAGGAGTTGTTGCAACTCTCATCTCCAATTCGTCAAAAAGTTTACGCAACGCTTTCTTTGTACAGTATTTCTCATTCTTAGTGTCTCCAATTTCGTTTATTGCTGACAGCTCGTCACTGCCATTAAGTTTTGAGATTCTTCAACTGATCGTCAAGGTGATCGCCACCAATTTCCACCTTCCATAGCTTGAGTTCGTCTGCAGAAAAATAGTCGAACTCTGGTGCCTTTTTCGCCTTAATAGCGTCCTTGAGATCGCTAACAGGGTTCGTCGCTAGTTATTTTAACTGAGAAAGCGTTCGCAAGCGTATTTCCTTTGACGAGACAGAGTAACGTGACTGACATTTTCGGATTTTATGCTGTTTTTTGCGAAATGTTATTGGCTCAAAGTGCGGTGGGTGAGGAAAATACCAAGTGGCACTATATGTGAGAAATTCATCGGTTGTACAGACCCTGTCGTATGACGCATTATTATGTAGTACAGGAGTACCTGCATGTGGCTCAACAAAACTACCCCTGCGTAACCGTGAAAAAATGCACTTTTGGTGTAACATTTGCCACAGTGGCACAGCATAAAATATTGATTGGTTTATTTTTATCCAATAAATTTGTTTCGGCATTTTTTTTTTCTCTAAGAAAAAAAATTTTTTTTCAAGATTCTAACGCTAAGAACCAGGAATCTCTAGCCTTCAACTCTAACTTACAAACTTTTACACTTAATATGTTATTATAAAAGCACAAAGACATTAAAAACCAAGAAGTAGACAAAACATAGGTAAATGTAATGAATTTTGACTCGCATTTTTTTTATTTTTAACGAACTAATATATAATATATTCTATGTAAATTTCAGGAATGTTTGTTGTAGTTATTTTTTATAGACGTTAAAATTCAAATATTCTTTTAATGTAATGATTAATACACATATATTTGAGAAAATATTGGAAATGTTAGTTATTTTATTTTTTTTACACTATAAAATAAAATATGAAAATATACCTTTAATTCAAATATGGCCTTTCCAAGTTAAAGGCATCGTTCTCTTTCATCGATAAGTTTCTACCTCTTGTACCATTTTTCTAATTGAATTAAAGTTTTTTTCTACACCTTTTCCCCATTTAATATTTTGGGAGAATTTGTGCTCTTCAAGCAAATCAGTTGCCGGCTTTGTAATTGAAATAAGTTCATCAAAGAAAGCGTCAGAGTCATCCTCAGTTAACTCCTCATGAATGGTACATTCGTCCTGAACACATGGCACAAGTTGTAATAAGGTATTGGGTGTACTATTACTTCTGTTATCTGCATTTTCTAAGAATGGATACTGATTATTCCGTTTTATATGATCAAAAAATTTTGGCAGTATTTCTCCTTTTTGTTGAATTAGATGCTTACAGATAAAAAAATGACTGGTTAAATAATATAAACAACCACAAATCCATTTATCAGGATCTGTTATATACCGAAAATCATTTGATACATTATGTTTTGCTAAGCGTTTCCACTCAGATTTGAATATCTTTCTCCGCTCTGGCTTTTCTCTTCCTATTGCTAATTGATTAAACCGCCGCTCCTGATGCTTTAGCATCTATCAAAATAAAATATATTATTAAACAAAATATAAAATAAAAATAATTTAATAGTAATAAATACCTTTTTTGTAATTATAAAAACAACTAAATCAAGCTGAGGACGAAAAAATTTATATAAAAAATCCCGCTTAAGTACTTTCCAGTGAGATTCTACAATCATTGTAGTTTTTAAAACTGATATCTTATTTTCACAACCTGCACGCATCCATAATACCCATCGTTCTGCACAATACCACTCCTTCCACATATAAGCCCAAAGAAAAGGCAATGAATGCTGTTCACAATACATATACATTTCGTTAACTGCTAATTTCCAGATTTCTGATGATGATAATATCTGATTATTAGTTGGAATTAATGGATGTAAATAAAATGTTTATCCATTATTTTCCAGACTTCCTTTCGTAATTCTTTAGGGCAAAATATTGTACCCTTTGGAATAGGTGATGGTGGAATAAATGTATTTTTTATAAAAGAAAACTGGTGGTGTGCAGTTAATCCAACATATGTATTTCGTTGTGATAATTTATTGGATGCTAATCTTGCTTCAACAGATCGTTTAATATGCCAACGGCACAGTTGGATTTTTGTATTTACCCATATTCTTTGTGATGCTGTGATTTGGGCAAAATCTTTGTCCGTTAGTAAAAATTCTGGATTTAATCCTTGTAATTTCATTTGCTTACAAAACATGTTAATTATATCAGTTCGTGTTCCATTACCACAGTTACCATTATTCTCCAAAAAAAGGTATGCAAGCGGAAAACCTACTCCATCAACTTTGGCATGGATTACATAAAGTTCAAATTTTAAATTATTTGTGTTATCTGTATAATATTAGAATAATTGTATTAGTACAGCTTAAAATAAATATGACTTAAATTACTTACAGGTAGCGTCAATATCACATTCATGAATATGAATATTATTTTTTTTTAAGTGTTCATAAATTCCGGTTGTAAATGCTATAGCTTGTACTGGTTCTGTTAAATTTAAAATAATATAATAATTTTGTTCTTTCATCCAAATTAATGCTGATTGAAAAGAATTTTCATGATGAATATATCTATTTTGATTAAACTTTGTCCACCAAAAGTGGATTTGCTTTTGTTTAATAGATAAATCCAATCCTTTATTAATTAATTTTGCGTAAATTTCACAAGGTAATAAATCAATATTCTCCTGAATAAACATTTTTATTTCTTCAGATACACTATTTTCAGATGTTGGAGGATGCAAATAATTATGATTTACTTCTATTTTTGCAATGTTTGTTGTTTGATTAACATTAATTCGAATATAACCTTCACAATTAAATCGATTCATTGATGGAGTATCACGTTGTTTTAATAGATCCTGATGTTTTCGTGGTTGTTTTTCCAAATTCACTCTTTGAGAACAAACATACCAATATGTTACAGACTCTTGCTTGCCATCATATTTAGTATTATATCTGCATATATAAATAATTAAATTTATTATCTGTTATTCAAAAATAAATTCTATATTATAAAAATAAAGATACATACACCCATGAGTATTCATCAACATCAGCAATAATGCCAACTAATGTATTAGCTATTTGTTTTGAATCTCCATCTAATAAAGATATATCTATTAAACATGAAAAGCAAAATTTAGGTGTATTTTCTTTATTTTCTATATTATCATTATTTTTGTATAGATTAAGAAGATGACACGTATAATCTGCAAGATTATCAGAAATAATAGTGTCTTCTATAGATTCTAAATCATTTTCCTCAATAAACTGTCGTTTAAGAAGTTTATTCTTTTGTCTTAAAGCTTTATTTTTGGAACGACAATAATTTCATGGTTACACAGGGGTAGTTAATAATCGCAAAGTTCGGGGTAGTCAAACACGCCTATTACTCTATCTTGTCTTATATTCTTTACCGTAATAAAACCTGTTACCCTATCGTATGTGTATATACTTGGCCGGATTACACAGAGGAATATACTGCGTAGGGTTAGTAGTAAACTTACCCATTGTCTTACGCCGATTATTCCTCGATTTTTTAGCCATCACCAATCAGATTAACCATTTCAAATCTGGACAAAAATGAATCCGTTAATATGATGTATAAACTTCGTAAATCATCGTATAACACTAATACTGTGATAAACTCTGTAAATCAGCTATAAAACACTAAAATGTCCAAATTTATTTCGAATATGAAAATCATTTCTTACACAATCAGACCTTGTGAAAAAGGATCCATTATTAGAAATTATCAGGAATTATGATTTTATTTTAGAAATTATCTTATTAGGAAATATTATTAAACCAAGCATTATTATATTATTTTTTGTAAAATTTTGTTATTAATTTTTGTTAACGCTCAAGGTGGCAACGTGATTTATCACGGGCTTAAACGTTACATTGTAGATCGTCCAATCACACGGTTTACTACAGGGGAATAGCAAAAGTGGGGTACGAAATACAACACAAAAAGGTTCATCTACGTGATCAGTTGTATTCTAAATTTTGCTTTTTTTAACTTTATTGCTTTCAATATTATTAGGATATTCCTCCCCTTTATTTTTAAAAATTTTAAAATAATTTAAACATATATGTTTATATATGTTTTAAGTTTTTCCTCTTTTCTTTGAAATTGGGTATACTGAATATTTCTGATTTTACTGAAAACTTCCAGAAATTTTGATATGTTTAAATATCATATTTATTTAAATTATTTCTTTCTCTTTCAAATTTTTTAGTTGAAAAGGACGTTAAATTAATTATTAGTTTGGAATGGCTTTATCATTAATATTATAAAAGATTTGAAATATTAATAATTCTATAAATGTAAATAGTCCCCTATATAATTTAATTATATGAAAAAAATTTGTTACATTAAATTTTACTAATAAAATGCAGTATAATGTTGAATAAAGAAAAACTCATAAATTCATAAATGTAAATAGTCCCTTATATATTATAATGAATTTCTTTTAAAACAAATGTTTTTTTAATGTAAAAAAGATTTTTGCAAAATAAATTTTAATATAAAGGGCAGTTTGAAGTTTTTTGAGTATAACATTTTACAAATATTTTGATTTTCTTTTATTTTACTGTATTATACTAAAATTTTTTAATATTCTGAATAATTCATTATAGTATTAACGAATTTTCTTATAATGGAAGTTTGATAAGCTTGGACATTTACTTTGTTATATTAAGAACTAATTGTATTTTCAAAGATCTGAAGATTTTATTAATATGGATTTGTATTTAGTTGTAAAATGGAGCATTTTTGAAAATATATTTTGCAGGTATTATCATTGTCTTAATATTCTTTTTATTACTATATCCATCACATAACTTCTTATATATCAAATATATAGTTGTATTGTAATATGTCTATCATTAGATAGATGAAATTAGATTTTTGACCTAGAAGATCTTATAACTTTGAAAGTTTTATACTGATTGGGGTGTCAGTTGAATTGTCATTAATCTAAAGTTTGGTATAATATCAATTTATATGTACTTTTAATATATGCTTTTTAATCGGTAATAGTAATAAATTGTTGGTGAGCAAATTGAAATCTAAATTTGATAACAGTACTGTTAAAATTTAAATATTGTATTTTATTATTTTTATTTATTAACAATCGATTGTATTTATTATAAAGTATTATTAGAATTTTAAATATTGTTTTTTATTAATATAGTATTGTAGTATTATTATATAGTATTGGGATATATAGTATTGTTATAGATTGTTATATGTAATATTAAATATTGTATTTGTATAAAGAATTAAGTGATTTGCATAAGAATTTCGAAAATTTGCGTAATGTCACGTTGTAGATTTCTGCGTAATTAAAATTCCGGCCGGAATTAATTGATCTGCATATTAATTTCCTTTTTAGAAAATATTGTGTAACCCAACATTTTATTTTCCGTTAGAAACAAATATTCCTTTTTTGGAAATTTGTGTAACATCACGTGATATATTTTGACTCCATCGGTTGGCTGGCTTGGTTCGGCTTGTTTATGCGCATTTACATACACTTTATTACGTGTACATGTCTCTACATGCACTAACACGAAAGTAACGTGTATAAATGCCCTTTAAGTTGATAAAATTTGGCTTGATTCGCTTGATTGATCCTTTAAGCCGATATACTTTGCCATGATTTCGCTTGATAAGCCAATACGGGTTGGCTTGGGTTGGCTTGAAGTTCGGCTTGGCTTGGCTTGGCTTGGCTTGATCGGCTTGGCTTGGCTTAAAGGTCTGAACCCGTGATCTTGCGAAATATGTCAATGTAAATATGTAAAAAAATATCCTTGGATTCGAACCCGTGTCTCGTGACTTCATCAAAAAAGTAAAAAAAAAATGTAAAAAAAAAAATCATCCCCCGGATTCGAACCACTGTGTCTCACCTTCAATCTTGTTAGTGACAGAGACTGCACAAATATACATGAAAAATCAGTGAAAAATCAGTGATACAGGGGGATGCGACGCGATCTTCACACCTTCCCCGTGACCAATCACATGCCTTCAATTTAATTAGTGACAGAGAATTGCCAAATATATATAG